ATCAGCCGGTTTTTATGAGAACCGAGGAAACGTGTCCTTTTGCCAGGTAACATTTCCTTCGTACAAACAGAAATTTGACTGTTTACTGAGTTGCGTAAGCAAAAGCTGATATCTGCCGACAAATTTACGCGGTTTTGTTTTATTTCAACAGTGCTGTAAAAACTGAGGGGAACGGTCATAACGAAGTAATCGAAATCCTTTCCTCGCCGGAAAGAAGTCCGGAAAAGAAAAGGTAAGCGCAGGTTCACTTTTCGTGGAGGCATAGCGGGCTCCATTAAAGAAACAACCCGTGCTAAACCACAGCTTTTGCTTACGCAACTCAGTAAACAGTCAAATTTCTGTTTGTACGAAGGAAATGTTACCTGGCAAAAGGACACGTTTCCTCGGTTCTCATAAAAACCGGCTGATATAGCTCTTCACTATTGTCATCTTCAGACTGTGATTCATCTTCTATGGTGATCGTCTCGGCCTTCCCTTCATTCATGGTCGTACTTGAAAAAACTGTCCACGCTCTCTCGCTGACTTCCACAGCGCAGCGCACGTGGTTTCGAGTCGTAAAACAATACTTTGTACTTTGGTCTTTGGCATTCCGTTAGTCACGTGCCGACCTGTTCAAGTATTAGGCTGATTTAACAAGAGGACGGGAACCAAATAAAAAATAAAAATAATACAAATCAAATTAAAATAATTAAAACGAAATAACATAATAAAAATTGTAGCTTTCAGACTATTTTTAAGGTGGAAGCTACCTATATTTAGTATATTTATTTCATTTTCATTATTTTCATTTGATTTGTATTATTTTTTGTTTTTTGTTTTTTTTTAATTTTATCATTTGCGCTTTTTTCAAGGTTCCGGGTAGGTTCCGGGCAGGTTCCGGGGGGTTCCGGTTGGTTCCGGGCGGTTCCGGGGGTTCCGGGCGGTTCCGTGCAGGTTCCGCCATTTACATACACCCCCGTATAACCCCATACATTAATTATGCATACATTCATTGTTTAAAGAAAGAACAAAAGACAGAACAATACTAAGCCTTTGGGATTTCAGCTATTTGTGCAGCGAGTTCTACGGTCACGATTGACTTCAAACTTGCAGAAGAGAGCTCTGAGGCTTATGTGCCGAAATCAGAGAAAAATCTGTCTTAGGGTTTTGAAATTATTGACATCTTGTAAAAATGCGGTTGTAAGCATATACCGATATCTCAAACGTTTTTACACCTATAAGAAAATAAATAGCATTTTCGTAAAGTTCGACCATTCTTTATTATGGATGCCACTAATCATAGAAATCGGTTAAATCATGCCTGCCGAAAAACCCGATTCAAAAACAACCAACGCGCAAATAAATCGGTTTGGGCCACCTTAAGTAGCTCAAACGTCTTCGGAACATCTGTGGGCATTTCGGCAACGTTCGGAAGTCTTCGGAAAGTCATCGGAAATCTTCGGAAGTCGCCTCTCAACGGGACGTTTTCGAAAATCCCGGTCATGACAAGGTGAAAATCTCACGCATTTGACTCAGAAAAAGTTGGCAGGTATAATATTGGCACATAGATCGTAACAAAAATAAGAAAGACCGTATAGTAATCATGTCGGGAAAAAGCTTGCAATTGCTTTTGTAACGCCCTCATTAGCAGCCATCGTATGCTGAAGCGTTCTCAGAGGAGCGTAAATTTTAGATCATAGTTCATTAACGAAATGACACTTAAGCATCTTGCAGCTACGATTACCCATAAAAACGCGCATTAATTTGATACCATTGTCTGACGAAAAGAGTGGAACAATGCTATTTATGCACCTATCAATGTAAACCCCGTGAGGGAGGAGTGCGGGCAAGGGGTGGGGATTTGACAAATTTTGAAATTTTTTGATCAAATTCCCCAGGGTGGGAAACGAAAGGTTGATCAAAAGTGTCAAAAAAGCCCCCACCCCAGGGTAAAAAGTCTAAACAAACAATACTATAACACTGTATAAAACAAATTAAAAGAATATTTCAAAAGTAAGTTCTTACTACTTTTATTTATGGTTAACGTAAGCTCCGTTAAATTACTCGCTGTAATTAAGTATTTTCTCTCTCCACTAGCATCTCCTATTTTGAACAACAAAATCACTTCAGGAAGATTGACTGTGCTACTATAATATTAATGAAACGTAAAATGCTTTATAACATCTGCTCAACATGTCGAAACAGGTCGGATCAGTGACCCGTAAAAATCCTCTGACTTTCACAGTGGAATTCGATTTCAATCGAGTTTTACAATCAGATGGGAACTTGAAGATAAAACCTTTCTCAAAATAGACATTATTTACTTCATACCTTTCTCCAACAGCGTGACTTTCAGAAAGCCTCGAGGGACGGACTTGGTAACCGCTTCTGAATTGATACCAGGCTTCTGTCGGTCAAAGTCAAATGTCCCGACCCCGGGGTCGCTTCGCACGATCAAAAGTCCGACAGGGGGATAGTCTCAGGCATCAAATCCCCGCCCCTTGCCCGCACTCCCCCCTCACGGGATTTACATTGATAGGTGCATTAAGGCCATAAAAACGGGTTTTGTCAGTTGTCAGTAAAACTTAAGGCAAATGTCAGTTGTCAGTTAAATTTTAGGCTTTTTGTCAGTTATCAGTTAATTAACCCCATTCAGGCCCTCAATATTATATACCTGCCAAATTTTTCTGTGTCAACTGCGTGAGATTTTCAGTTTGTCATGACCGGGATTTCCGAAAACGTCTCGGCGGTCGGCGACTCCCGATGATGTCCGATGGCTTTCCGAAGACTCCGAACGTTGCCGAAAATCCCCACAGATGTTCCAAAGACGTTTGAGCACTTTGAAGCTACTTAAAACGACAACAATTTTAGTGTGGTTTGGTTAGAACGCAAAAAAAGGGCACAACGTTCTAATTTAACGCCTCTCTGGATTGAATTTTCGTTATTAAGCGCTTAGAACAGCGATGTATAAGCGGTATACAAATTCCATTATTATTATTATTATTATTATTATTATTATTATTATTATTATTAATGTGTTAAAGAACAATTTGTCCGGATTTGTGCGTCTGGCGTGAGAAATTGTCCTTGATGCGTGAGATCGATCTCTTTAGTCCACAGGCGTGAGACTCATGCATGATACGTGAAAACTGGCATGCAGGTATAAATTTTGATTTGCTTAATGGTTGAAAATGTTGGACTCTGGCCAGCAAAACGTTTGAGTGGAGGAGAGTAACAAAAGACTTGACAAATGGGAAGATCCACTTGAAACGCTTACAAAAGCAAACCTGATAAAAATTAAGATACTATTGCATCAATTTTCGATTAGTACATTATATGTGCCTTAAGTTTCATAGTTAATCATTAATAATCATTTAATTGACAACTGACAAATTTTAACTGTCAACTGACATTTGTAGTCTCCTATCCAGACCCTCTTAGAGCGGTGAGAGTGAGCAACAAAATAATATGCCAAATTCGTTTTATTTTAACTGTCTAAAACACTGTCGAAATTCTTGAGCTAAAGCGGATGGCGCAAATGTTTGGCCACCTCCTTGAGCAGAAAGATGCACTCTTTTTTCGGTTATTTCTTTTTGCATAAGGTAACGCCTTTTTTACCTGGTTGTGTGCTGCATGTACAAGTGTCAGACACCCAAATTGAATTGGCAATCTTGGGTGACCAAATGGGTATTTAGCAAACTCGTTTATATTAATTTAACTGACAAAACGGATCTAAGGGCTTCATGAGTCAACTCACTTGGAAATTATCACATGTGGGAGCTGTTGGCTGGGAACCGCACAGAAGTTCTCTCAGGACATGCGCGGGGATCGAAGGTGGATCGTGAGTTGGTGTATGTGTGCCCCTTGCTTTAAGTTTGTCTTTTGAAAATGGGGAATTAAATTGTTCTACTGCATAAAGAATTTGAACAGAAATGCATAAAGAAATTTATTAATTAATGTTCAGAAAGAGTAAGTCAAGTAGAAGATGTATTAGGTTTTCCTGACGTCGAACACAACCTAAACTCAAACTGCGAAAAGCCTGAGTCTGAGTACGAACATCAACGGAACAAAACGTTAAGTCAAGCGCCAGGAACGGAAATGCGTCATAGACTTAAAAATTCCCGCTCCCAGAGCTCGTAGTTTCTTTGGAGAACGAGTGCTTCAGAAAAAAAAGAACGTTTATTGAAACCACAACAAAAGTCAGCTGGACACAATCACTGTTAATTTGCCGAAATAAGGCAAGTAATCGGTCGGCAATGAAACACTGCGAATAGGTCATTTCCGAGTTACCCCAAGTCTGCGTTTCAAAGGGACGCTAAGTGCAACTGGTCATTGATATGAAAATAATTTTTATTGTCATGCTAATAAAACTCATTTTCACAGCTTCAAGAAAGGTTTCGCGCTTAGCCTCGTTTTGAAAGTGAGAGAAATGGCCCATTCACTTTCTTGGCAAATTAGGGAAAATCTCATTATCGTTATTAAAAACATGTTTTAGTCAATTTGCATCCAATAAGGTCATTATTTTTTAAGAAGTTCTAAAAACCTTTTTCTCAAGCCCATCGTCTCTCAAAATATGGATTGGTCTGGAGAGCATTCTCTAACTTGCCAAAGTTGGTTCAAAATAGGGTGGTAAAGGGGGTGGGGGATGGGTATTGATCACGTTTCCTGGAAAATAAGTTGGCCCTTTCACATTTCACGTTTCACGAGAAAAAAAAACGTTTTTATACAATAAGTTTTTCTTACTTTGGTTAGGAAGGAAACCGCGTTCTTTGTTTAGAAGTTGAGGCTCGGCACTATCTTGTTCTAACACAGAATCATTGTGACCAGAGGAGTCGTCATCGTATTCAAAGGTGATTTCACAATTCACGGGGAATGAAACAAGCAATTCACGGTTCACGAAAATACCCTTTACCACCCTCTCAAAAGGAACGGTCGTAAAGTTACAGTGAAGTCAGTACACAATTGAACAAGCTTTGAGCAAGGGCTTCCAATGTTTGCATTGAGGTTGAGTTTATGCAGTTATGAGTCAACCAACAAATTTGTTCTTTCTCCAGGCCTCCGATTTCAGGTTTGCCCTTGAAAGATCTACAAATTGGCAGTTTCCTGGGCGCAAAGTTCAGTTCAGTCTCACAATAGACATCCCTGAGTCCACCCCCCTGAAACTCAAAATTAAACTTCCATTCATTGGCAGTCCTATAATGCGACTCACAGAGGCTAAGTACTCTTCAGTCAGCGAACACCTTACCTCTAGCGTCAACACAACCACAATGACGTCTTCAGCAAAAGACGGTCTGAACGACATAGCCTTCTTCGAACTCGGGAACATAACGCGGAGCCCATCTGTGAAAAATACTGAAATCAAGATCGATTTTGAGGTGCAGCTGTTGAATCATGCCAATATTACTAATGGAGGTGCACAGTGGGTGAGCGTGGGTGCAGAGTACATAAATCAATCCGTATGGGCAGCACAGATAGCGATCAAGACCATCAACACAGCAGTCAGCAGACCAGATTTGAAGGTTTCACTCTCGCCTGACAATGACGGTTATTACATACTTTTCAGGTATGATACACCACCAGGCTTATTGCCTGGTAAATCTATTTCCAAGGAAGTTTGAAAATCCTGGAAACAAACCAGCCGTGAGATCTGCATTTTTGAGTGACGATTACTGACCAGACTGACGTATACTCTTTAATTGCTAAGACGTCATCCAAGCTAATGTCGATGATCGTTTCACACTATGGTTTCTAATGTTCAGTCAATGCATCTCTGAAAAGGGTACATCTATTGCCATGGCAATAACTACATTACTGATTTCAACAACGTACCCAGATGGCGAGTTAGTCTTCATTGAGTATTCAAGCATTTCTTGCCACCGACTATTCGATATGTGTCATTAATTTCTTTTTCTTCATTGATCAGATATTCATGGGTTGTGTGGATAGTATAAATCGTAAATGGCGCTTGATCTTACCTAGTACTAATGGCTGTTGCCTAAAATAGAGGGCCAAAAATCCTTGGCACGATTATTGAAAATTACCTTCCTTCAACAGCGCTGTAATATCAGATATGCAAGTGTAGCATCGTGTCCACTTTTGAAATAGTTCGGATGCCTCGAATATGGCCCTCCCCTCTCCCCTTCAAACAATGTTGGGATAAACAAACACTTTTCAGGACAGGTTAAAGTGGACAGAGCGCACAAAAAGGAACTTAATTTGCTAGAGGGCGAGGGTAGAAGGGCCGATTCAGTTTAAGTCGAATCTTGTTAAGGGCTGGCCTTGGCTGAAAAGTAAAAGGAGACTGATTATATTTGATTTAGAAATAACAACTTTCGTTTCTACATTTAGTTATCATTCATTTTTGTTTTGTTTTGTTTTTGTTTTTGTTTTTGTTTTTTTTTTCTAAAAAAGGGACCAAACCAAATTCCGCCTGACACTGACTCATTCGTGTGTGACAACTGACGAGGTGGGAAGTGGAATCATTGAATGGCCTCTGCCGCCTGTCTTGACACTAAACAGTTGGACGAAAATGGGACAATCCATTAACATCATTGATGTGTTCAACAGTACCACCAGGGTGATTTTCAAGGTAATAGAGAGATAAAGATGTTACGTTGACTAACACAAGTTAGTGATTCCAGGGTTTCACTCATTTCAATATATACTGTCATTCCCAGCCATTTAGGCGCTCAGAGAAAAATCTGTGTGTCTCTGGTCAGCACTATTATTTTCTCGTTTTTTTTTTTGACCATCTTACAGGTTTTTATATAATTGTTGATGAGATACTTTTCTTTCAGAATTTTTATGTTTCTAATCAGTCAATACAGCTGGAAGATTATCGTGCTTTTCTTTTTCTTCAAAATAAACTTTACTACTCAAAATAAACTTTCTTGGCCTAGTTTTCACGGCTTTAGGCGAAAAAATTGCTGATGAGATCCAACACTCTTGACGCACATGTACTATGTTTTTCTTGTTACGTGGTTTTCAGTTTGGACCTTTGAAGTTTTGGGAAACGATCGACCTGGAAGTAACGTTTGATATTGATTTGCACAAGACAAGGGCCGAAGGCAAAGTACATGATTTAACCACTCATGTAAACGTCAAGTACAATGGGTCAGTGGGAACATGCAGATCGTTCTCGGGCTCTCGCGAGTTTACCACTGAAGGGCCAGCCACAGTTTCTGTCAAGTATTATGTCCCACGTAAGTTTAAACCGAGCTAATACGTCGGGTATTTTATGGGGTATTTGGCCTATAAGCTACTTTAAAAATAGCGCTTGTATCAAATAAAGTACTTAAAAAATACTCGTATGAAGGGGTAAAATCTACCGGTCCCAAAAAAGATAATTAAAGTGAAGGACTCTGACTGAAGCTAATTCCTCCAGAAGAAGAAGATTAACAATTGATTCCGCAATTCCAGTTAAATTTTATAGCTTCCAGAATAGAGACTCAAAATATTTTGGCATAGCCTCTTCAATGTGAAGAAATAACTGCTTGGCAATTTCTTTCCGCAGTCATTAGCAATGCCTTTTTTTTTCTTTTTCTTTTTTTTTTTTGTAGTAGGATCATGTGATCACGCCCTTGGTATGACGGATGGGAGTATTGCTGATTCCCAGATCACTGCTTCCTCATATGCTGTGGGTGGGGAACCACATGAGGGAAGACTGAATGGCAACAAAACTTGGATACCTCATGGCCAGCTTGCGTAAGTCACATGTTGATTTGTAGACCCTGAAGTGCGTCTCTTGATTATTCGAAGTAAAGTTTAGCAGTAAGAAAAAACCCGCTTCAAAGTTTTTTTCGGATGGCCGATAATGGCCAGGTTTTTTATTTTTCCCAGTTTTTTACCATAGAGCAAGAGAAAGACAGACAAAAAGAGAAAGTAGGCGACAAAGATCTAGAGAGAGAGATAAAAAACAAAGGAAACAATTTTTTGTCGGAAGAACAAAGCGAAAATTTTGTAGCGGCGGGAACAAAATGAGAAAAGCTAGCAGCCATCAATGCAAGGTGAAAATGAGCGTCAGTGAAAAAAAGTGAACAAGAAAACGTACGACATTTCCTCCATAAAACGTGTAGCTAAGGAGTTTCTGGAAGTTTCACGTTGTAGTCGTGCAAAACAACGGCAAAGAAATGTACAAAAAAAGTGTGCTGCACGTGCAAAGTTGCTTTTTTGCTAATTAGACCTATTGTTGTTTTTCACCGTTCTCCGGCTTTGCCTTCGCCGCTTAGCATTACAGGATTTTATATTTTGTTTTAGCAAACTATAAATATTATCGAGATCTTCGCTTTTAGCCCTGGCTCAGGGGGGGAATACAACCTTAAAATTTCACTTTTGCTTAGTTTACAGAAAATTCACTCATTAGATTTTCCTATAAACTTGCACACAGCTTACTATTATTAGCGGAGCTCTGGCGCGCGAAGCGCGCCTGCGGAGCACCATGGGTAAGAAAATGTGGTAATCTACCCATCCGCGAAAATTTGGTAATCACGTGACCGTACGCCCGACCGTCCGTCCGCACCACAGGCATACCAATGTGAAATAACTCAATCAACAGGTATGGCAACCCAAATGCAACTCGAGGTTATTTTGGCGGGAAATCGCATAGCCACCCGCGTCTGTAAAGCAGAGGCAACTAAAGAGTCAATAAAGACGAAACCGAAAAGCGGAAATTGTTTCTGTATCCGTGTTTTCTAAAGTATTAAGCTTAGATTAATTGTCATGTCCACACATTTGGAATATAGAGCCAGAGAAAGACAGAGAAAAAGAGGAAGGCCAGAGAAACTCAACGAGAAAAACGGCAACAGAGCGAGAAGATCTAGAGCGAGAGATAAAAAACAAAGAAGACATTTTTTGTTGGAAGAACAACATGAAAATTTTGTAGGGGCGGTGACAAAATGAGAAATGCTAGCGGCCACCAATGCAAGGAGAAAATGAGCGGTAGTGATAAAAAAGTGAACGAGAACACGTACGACATTTCCTCCATAAAAAAGTTTCTGGAAGTTTCACGTGGCGGTCGTGCAAAACAACGGCAAAGAAATGTACAAAAAAAGTGTGCTGCACGTGCAAGGTTGCTTTTTTGCTAATTAGACCAATCGTTGTTTTTTCTCCGTTCTCTGGCGTTGCCTTCGCCGCTTAGCATTACACGATTTTATATTTTGTTTGAACAAACTATAAATATTATCGAGAGCTTCGCTTTTAGCCCTGGCTAAATCTATATATTAATCATTACCATTTGAAACTTAGGGCCTGTTTACATGGAGTGGGGCCGGCCGGGACCCCGATCTAGTGGGGTTTGTTTTCTTTTGTTTTCACGCTCTGGGGGACACAAAACAAAAGAAACTTACCCCACTAGACCGGGGTCCCCCACTCCATGTAAACAGGGTCTTATTTGACCAAATTTTAACAGAGAGGTTCTTGGATAATCAATAATATAATTGTACTGTAATTATTGAATGTGTCTCAAAAATCGTCTGTTCAACATCCATTTTAAAGTTCTCATTGTTTAAAATGCGATAAAAGTAAAAATTCTGCCAAATATCACAAAATTTCAATAAGTAGATTTTGAGAAATCGTCTTCTGTGTTCCATTGCTTTTTCGCCGCCATGTTTGTTTGTGTAAGTTAAAACACTCGCCGTCACGCGAGGTACCGCTGACCGCACGCGAAACTGTGTTCAGGGTTCAGCCCTCCTCAGATGCCAGAAAAACACAACGTCGGACTTACCGTTATAAATCGTTAAAATCATGAAAAATCGATAATATCGATTTGACACAGCAATTATCGATTTTCACCGATTTCCTTTATCAATCGATAAAAATCACTTGATTGCTATCGATTTTTATCGATACCGATTTTTATCGATTGACTACTCCGGGTTGATAACAATAACAAAACGATGGAATATATATGTTGTAGTTATTTTTTTATTTCAATTAGTTTTAAGTTTTCCATTGTTTTGGGGTATGGTAGTGTATGCTAATGAATTTAAAACAAAGGAAAAACAAAAATTAACCAAGGAATTTTTTATGTAACAGAGGCAGAATGATAAGTTAGTTTTACTGTAATTTCGATTCTGTTAATCCTGCTTCTACTTTTAATTGTCAGTCAGGGGGTTGTCAGTATATTGCTTAAATTGTAAATAACTTGATTTGATTTATTTGTAATTGTAATTGATGTACTTTTAAGAGCCACCCATTGGATCTGTTAATAAACCATTATTACTATTATGATGATGATGATGATGATGATATGTTAAGGTAAAAGAAGACCTCATGATTTAAACCTTTGGGCAAAATTCAACTTTTTTCCAGTTGTCCAAGCGACAGATATTGCCAATCAATCATATTCTCAGAACACACCTTAATGAGCCAGAAACCCCTTTAGCAGATGACGGTTTCAGTTGAGGACGGGGAAGGGGGATGGGGGGGAGGTGAGAATGTTGTGAATTAGACCGATCATAGGAAGTTCAACTAGTTCAATAGAATTCAAAGTTATAGATAAAAAAACTGATTACTCATAAGTGATTCTCACAATTATTTTGTGCTCTAGTCAGATGACAAACCAGCACCTCGAGGTTAGCTTCACTTGCAAAGTCAAGATTAACAGACTTATCACCAAGGGTCTTGGTAAAAACTACGTCAAGAGCTTTTTCCTATTTTACAGTAAAGATGGCCATATTTTTAAATCCTACAAGTTGGGCAGCAAAAACATGGTAAGCGAACGTCCCTAGATGATCTTTTGACTAATACGTTTTGATGAACATCTGTTTTAAAATCTTTGTTCCGCTGGCATATACTGATGTTGCAAATACCATCTTCACACCCTAAGTATCGGCAATCTACATATCGCCTGAGTGTATAAAATTAACATTCTTAATGCAATTCTTCATGCATGCGCCCTTTGAACACTCACAGGCTTATTTTTGTTATAATTATTGCTGCTGCTTGTAATGACTTTAGGTTTTTCCCGCCAACACCAATGGTAACGATCCAGCGGTCATTATCCTACCGGTGCCTATAGAAGCAGTGGCTGTCCGCGTTAACCCTAATGCCTGGGAAAACATTATTGCCCTTAAACTGGAGTTTTATGGGTGCGTACTGGATTGCTTTTTTACTCCAGGTAAGAAATGCAATTGTGCAGTACTTGACCATTGTGCAATTGTGCAATACTTGACCATTCTTTGACACTTGAAATCAGCCCGCGCGGTAGGAGTTGTTTTCCGTGGTCGGTTAATTTTCTAGGTTTCTTTTTGGCCGCCTGCAACAAAGTTTTCCGGAAGGCATCATTAAGCCTTATGAAGGAACAAGTCTCACGATTGGCAAAGTCTTTCGTCTCATTTTGGCTAAACGGGTGAAACACTGATCTCGGGCTTGAGACGGAAAGGCATCATATATTGCGAGCTTTGATGTGGGCGGTGACGAGTCTCTGGCCTCAAAAAGTAGCTTTTAAGAGTCAAAACTATTCGGCGAGAGCAAAATTGATGCTGATTTCTGACCAGGCCAGAGACTTAGTAAAAATTTGTTTTGAAGGCCGGCGTCCATGTGTCCCTTTCAAAACGGCTCGTCTACATCCGGGATCTTGAATAAATTGACTGTGTCAGCAAAGTCTCCTTGTGATGATTTATGTTGAGAAAGCGAGAGTTATTGAGAGAGAGTAATTTGATGATATTTCGCCCGTATTAAGTGTGGAAACATTGTGTCTGGTTGGTTGTGGATAGTTTTATCAGTGCCGCGAACGTGGTTAATTGTGTGATTTCCTGAAGTTGTTGACAGACAGATTTCAGGTATGTCGTGGCGCTCGTGTCATAAGAATATTGTGTACAAGCCTGAAAACGCTTTGTAAGTGTTTAGTTGAAGTGATTTTGGCTTAGACAACCGATTGTGGGGTCAAGAAAGGTGGTTTCTAGGTCTGTTTTAGTCGGGCATCTCGCTTAATGAGCCACATAGTTTAAGAGACTGAAAGGTCATTATTTCTGTGCTTTTAAATGTTGTTCATTTCGTTAAAAATGTCTCGCTTTTGCCAAGAGCAACTTTTCGTGTGTTGCCAGCGATTAATTCGTCCGTTTTAAGCCCTAACTAGTGAATTCAACTGTTTTTTATTGACCTCAAGGGTCAAATTGTTAAAACGCACTTGAAATTTCTGGAGGTACCTTTTATCAAATCCATATTTCCTTCAATATTACTTGGAAAGGGTGGAAAATAGCATAAATTGCCAAAGTTAACTAGCGTTTTCAACCTTTGAATTTAGTACGCATATACGGCCACCGCGTCTATGGGTAAAGTCGTATGCACCCTAATACTTTGGAAGGACTCCGAAATGCCTGGGCACTGATATCCTTCTCCCCTAAAATATCTTTGGGAGGAAGGCTCAGTTAGTGTGTTGGATCAAACAGACAATTTTTTGTTTCAAAACGTTCCCGCATCAATGGTTGCGTTCGATTGGGAGATATGGATTTAGATTTTAAAATCCGGATTTCGGATTTTGCAATCGAACGCGAAATCCGAAAATGGATTTCACCTTCGAGAAATCCGTTCTCAGGGTGGATTCCAATTAAAAAATCCAAATCCGGATTTCATGGATTTCCTTTTTACTGTTCGATTGGGAAATCCGAAAAAGGATTTGCAAAACTGTTTTCATGAACAGCGGTTTTCTTTTTGCTAATTATGCGTGCGCTTGCAAGATCGCTGCTCTAAGGGACAGTTTTTCAAATCCGTTTCGGATTTCCCAATCGAAGGGTAAAAAGTAAATCCAAAAACAGATATCTCAGCTTTGAAATCCGTTTTCGGATTTCGTGTTCGATTACAAATCCGAAATCTGGATTTTAAAATCTGAGTACAGATTTCTCAATCGAACGCACCCAGTATGTTCTCTCTCATTTGACGATGATTAAGTCATTTGCAAAAAACTACATATATTTAAAAATTCGTCATCCTCACTTTGACAAAACCAGCGTTTTTAACACTTTAATATACCGCACAACAAACAACAAAAGGTGAAAAAAAAATAATGAATAATTCTACAAATCGAACTTTCCAAAGCACAAAATCCCAAGGTTCTGCAGTCGCTTATGCTTTGGCTGTTGAAGTGACATAGTTTGGAATTGTGGATTGCCTGGTCTCACCGGGAAATTTGACTGTAGTTAATTTAGTTCAAAGATATAATTGCTAAAGAAGTAGCGATTTTACTTGCGCAGGACCGTTGACGTTTACCAGTCGTGGATATCTCTTGGACAAAATAAACGACATCATGTGCGTTTGTAGTCTTTCTTTGGCAAGGTAAGTTTATTCTTCCGATCAAACAGGACGAATGCATAAGATAACAACAAAAAAATGCACAGAACTTGTGCACTTTATATTTTAAGGTCTTCTAAGGGCAAGTCAAAATATTACAAAGAATAAATTTTCAACTGAAGATAAGGGCCTGGACTACGGTGGAAACCCACAGGCCAATAACACTACAGTAAGGAAACAAAACGAAAAAAAGCAAGGTGTCCTTGCTATTAGGCTATGCTAATTTGTGCATTGTCTATTTTAAAGCCGTGCAGGAAACGTTATTTTCCTTTGTTTTTTTTCGTATGGCAATCTTTGTTCATAGGCTGAAAGATAAAGGATAAAATCAAACCCCTAAGATAAACGATTAAATTCCACCAGCGCTACAAGAAGAGTCAGGCTAAGAAATGAAAAAGAGGCATGCAGAGAATGGTTCGCGTTGAGTTTTGAGTTTTAGTGTGGTGAACTGCCTGAATATAGAAAAGTAACGTAATTGAAAATGCTTGTGACTCGTTTTGAAACAATTATATTGTTTTTACAGCTTCAAAAGGGGATCTTCCACCTGTTTCTTCAGCAGGGACAGAGGTGCCTCATGGACAGGTAGGAGTTTTAACCCTATTCAGTCCGGGGGGTTTGGAACACCCTCCCCCCTTGCTAAAGCGGTTTTGAAGTTATGGAGATGGGGGAAGGGGGTTTGGGCTCCAGAAGGGTCTCAATGGGGTTTACTGTCAGCCGTCAAACGGCCTAAAATTCAACCGTCAACGGTCAAAAAAGGTAATTTTTACCGTCAACCGTAAAAAGAGCAGATTAATATTAACCGTCAAAAAGTTTCAAGGTACTTCAAATCTTTCAATTTCAGCTAATCTCCACGGACTTCACGCTCCTGAAGAATCTCCAAACTGGAAAAACCATTCCTAGACGTTACAAGACCTGGCTTAGAATTTTGCCTTTGTCTAAAAATATCTCAAAATTTTATGACCAAAAGGCTACGAAAACCTTCAAAACACAACAGCTAATATTAATTTATGCAGAACTTAATATTTAATGTAACTCTTGTACTAAATGTCCGCTTAATAACCGTCCGACCGTACGCGTTAAAAGCTCTAAAATTTAGCCTTGAACCGTCAAAATTGGAAAAAATATAACCGTCAACCGTCAAAGCTACCGACCGATTGAGACCGTCCTCCAGGGCCAGGGCCGGTTCACAAATAGAAAATTGCAAAAGAATAACAAAGTTAACTTTGTCACCCAATATTTTGATCGGTCAAAATCGAGACTTGACCGAGCGAAAATTTCTTCAGTGGCCGGTCATCGTGGCCGGCCACCGTCCGAAAAGAGGGTAGGGGTAACAAAAAAAAAAAAACAAAAAAAAACATTTTTTGGTAAAACGCTGGAACAATTAATTGAATCCCCTTTTTTGGCAGCAATGCATCACAGTGTGATTGCTCTCCTCGGATATGACGTTGCGGACAGCATGTGGTACGGCGTTAGCAGAGATGGGAGAGCGGTCGTGAAAAGTTCTTCACATTCCTCCAAGTTCATTGGTGCCGCATTGAGCGATTGGGATGCGGCGAAAGTAAAGTCGACCGCAATTCTTGCTAAAATGATTAAAAATGACTTGGCCATTACCAATGCCACCCTGACTCCACGAGCTGAGCATGTTCAAACTTCTAAAATCGGCACCAAGTGGGGAGGTCAGTCTGCCATGTTCTACTTATAATAATTACTAATAGAGAATTATTTTCCTTTTATTACGAAGTCTCTGACAACAGCAATCTAGTGAAGCACAGCTGTCAACATTGAGCCCGCTATTTTTTTGGTTGGTTTGTATTTGGTTATTTAAAGTAATAATTCCTCTTTTTTATTTTAGTTTATTTTATTTCTTTTTCAGTGTCTGCTAAGGGCATTCACGTGGAAGAGTCACTAAACTGGAAGCTGAAGGCCGTCTGGATGTGTTATGGTCCGTAACCGTTCACGTTTAATCTTATTTAATCATAGCGTTCAACTCCCCCTCCCCCTCCCCTCCAAGAAAACGTACACTGTCCATTTCGGGGTGCTTTCGACTGATTGACCTTGGTCTGAAATAGGAATACAACGTCAGACTAATTAACAATTATGGGCTCTGAGTCAATAGCCCATGAGGCCGAAGGCCGAATGGGCTATTGACTCAGAGGCCATGAGGGCGAGAGGAACAATTGTTTTTAGTAAAATCCAACTAGTTGGTCAAAAATATCGAGACAAAACAACTTTAGCTAGTAAAACGCGATTCAGCAGCCATTGTTTTGGTTTTCAAAGCTGGTGCTTTTCGCTACTAGTGGGCAATAACATATAGCCTAGTAGTAGCTCAACCAATCAGAACGCAGCATTGATAATAGACCACTAGTTGGATTTTATTAATCCGGAATATCCGTTCGATTGCTAACTTGCTATTCCAAATCCGAATATGTGGAATATACTCCAAAGATTCTGCGGCGCAAGCAGAATGGCGTCGTTTTCCTATTAGCTGCGTCACAGAGAGTTAATTCACAAGTAAACAACAAAGAAAATGGCGGACTTCGTCGGTGAAAATGAACGATATCTAAACGAGGAAGACATTCAGCAGAAGAGGGTAACTACTGGAGCAGAAAAGAAACTCTTTGGCATATTTTGAGTATGCGCACAGTAAAACGGACATCTAAAATTGACCCCTGTGTTTTCTTAGTCTTTTTGTTTGACCTTCTGTAAAAAGGTCTCCTTAAGAACGGACACTAAGGTTGTTCCCAACGTTGTTCTTCTAAGAGGGTTTACCACCATGATGATGTATTAATGCAACTTGATCTCCGAATAGGAGGTATCGACATCCACATCTGTTCCGCTGGTTCAGAGGATGATACAAGTGAAGGGTGTCCTCTAAAGAGAAAGGCCTCGATCTTGGTGGATGGAATTGAGAGGTCGCCAAAAGTGAGTATTTAAAAAAGATATTAGTAATAAACTGTGAGAAAGATGAAGAAGGCAGTTGCCATATCTGTATAGAAAAATGCCCTCTAGGATGCATTGATGAAGTCATGTTTTAACTTTACCTAGAATTAACGTCTTCCTTAAATTACCACGAAAAGGCTGGCAAAAATAGAATGTTAGTATCAAGTAGAGTGTCACCAAAAGAAATGATTTTGTCGTCAAGTCAATAGCCTCGCCTACTTCAGTCAAAATGCGCAAATTGCAAGGCCCCCCTCCCCTAAAAAAAGGTACCTAAATGGGAGAGAAAAATAGCTACATGCTAATTACTACTAGTCTATGCCCTTTACATCTGAAACTGATGGGTATTAGAGTGGCCAGTGCTCTAGCAATGATCTCGTAATATATTTAGGGAACTAAAAGCTTCGCCTTGTCCTTTCAGCAAAGAGGATATAACGTAGTGGTGTTAAGCAGAGATGGACATTTTATAAATTCCCAGGCATTTGACTCCTATGCTTCCAGCACAGCAGATGATCAACTGGCAACATTTCTTACCGGCCTGCCCAATAACGTGATCGTGTTAGCAGCGACCCAGGATGAGGCATGGTGGGCCGGAGGCGCATCAGAGTTCCACAAACAGGCAGCTGACGCCCAGCTGATAAGCCTCGGAGCAACAAATCCCCGACCTTTGGGATATCGCGCCTCGTGGGCTTTAGTTGGTTATAAGGGTTCTGATGATCCAGCAGATTGGAAAAGATTTAAAGAGGCACCAGCACGTCAAGGACCAACAGAGATCTTAGTGACGATCCCAATCGCCAATGGCTGCACATAAATTCCGCTTTGGTTGCATAATCACAGACATGTCTAAAAGCGTCTTTACCTCATTTCAGTACGAGTTCTAAAACCTCGGAAACAAGACGAATTCCGATCCCTTGTAAATCCTGTTTATAGCCTCAACCATATACTATCAGTGTGTTTCTGAGTTTTTGTGAGTGTGTACCCTATTCGTCCTTTCTTTAAAATTTAATAATTGTAAATTCATTAATTACATAAGTGGCATCGCATCAAAGTTGAGACCAATCAATAGCTGCACGTAGTACATACTCACGGCCGGTTTTATTACTACTACGATAAAAGTTAAATGTTCAGCTTTAAAAAAAAATGTATTAAAATAATTTCTCTTCAGATCATGGCAAGAGAGAAAGAAAATGATTTTTTTTAATTACCGCAAAGCATGGCTATCAGTATTGGCAGCATGTGAAGGTGTGAGTGAGCCAATTTAGATCAAAGGTGGCGTGAATACGACACTAACCCCCCTGACAAGGAAATAGGCCCAAATTATTGTCTACCCCGTGCCAAGTTATTTGAGATCATAGAACATTTGAGATATCCCCTTTCTGAGAACTCTGTGTTGACAATAGTAAAGGGGAATAAAGTGGAATCCGGTTAATACAGACACCAAGGGGACATGCCATAGTGTCCGTATTATCCGGAAGTCCGTATTTAGAGGGTTCTCAGAAAAAAACTTCAAGGACTGGTGTTTTATTGATATTAAGACTAAATCAGATAAAGAAAAAAGAATTGAACTGAATATTAATCTTTTATTAGGAAGCTTTCCTGCATCACATCAGTGGTTTACAGAAAGGTCCGAACTAAGATAAAAAATACCAATAAAAAGATTAGATTGTCTGCTTTAAAATGAAGGATATCTGGATCTAAAAAAATGCGTACTATATATCTTACTGGATTTGTTAAAGCATAGCTATTGCCATTGTTAAGCCTCAGCTAGTGACTGCTTAACTGCTTTCCATTCGACTTAGATGTCAAATTGTTAAAATGCACTTGAATTTCCTTACCCTTTTCACAGACCCTCCATTTTCTCTCCTAAGTCCGTCTATCGCGCGTGATAAAAAAAAAACCGCGGGGGACTTATTGACCACCAGCGCAAGGCGGTAGGGGTGGGGAAAGAGGAAAATAGTTATTTATTTTTCTTTCTCGCCCTCCTGGCTCGCCCTCGCTCGTTCGCCGGTGTTTTCGAAAACTGCGAAAAGAAAAATGAACCAAGGTCTGTGTACAGGCTAACGTTTAAGCAAATCCAGACAGATAATAAACGTGTTTAACACAAATCTAATTGAGGCCTGACCCTCCCTTAAGTAAATTGCCACCAAGGGATTAAAAACGGCCTTCTCATCATTAGCTTAGGCCTTTCAGAAATACCTTTGTTTTACACTGGACTTCATACCCTACTGGTAATTGACCATAATGCAGCTGTGCTCACTTATATACTTATATACTTATATACTTGGAGCTGGTTATATAGGCCAAGAATTTAAGTCAGTAGTTTACTTGATGTTATTGACCAATAAGAGACAATGAATTAATAATAAACACCTTGACAAACTTTGTTTGAATTGTTTAACTTCTTTCATCTTTCTGTTTATAAATATTTAATTCAGCTACTCAACTGAGTTTAGCAGTGTTTAACAAACCAACCGCGTTCTAAGCCATCATGTCGGGGGCACCCAACGTCAATTTTCGGAAAGTATTTGTTCGGAAGACGATATTTGAGATCTAGAATCTTCGGAACATTTGCTAAAAAATTTCTTGCTTGTCTGCCTCTCCTAGCATTTTCGAACATCTAAAAAATGGTATTATTAGCCATTTTTAACGGATTTTTAACGTAAAAAAGGTCACCTAGAATTTTCGGGAGCCTTTTTTCTGGCTGAAATTCTCGAAAAGGTAAGCTAAGGTAAGTTTTGATCGCTATAATTTTCTGATCACAAGACTTTCAGCTAGGAAATCCGAACAGATGAAAAATTTTTAGGCGATAAAAATATGCCTATATCTACCTTTTAAATACTAAAATACTTCAACAATGCTATGTTTAAGTCGTTTTGAACTATATTCTCGTTGGGTGCCCCTGTTTCAGTTTACCAAAGTAACGCTTTTAGCTAAACAAAGTTAATCGTGAAAAGACACTTGAAGACCCTCCTTGAATCATAAAGCGTAGAATTAGGAGAGCATTTATCTTCTTAAAATAACCCACTGAAGACGAGATCTCGAGGTCCAAAGATTTGCTAAACCGCGGCCTGAGTTAGACTTCGTTTGAATAACCGACCCAGTTAGAGTTTAAATGTTACTCTCCGTCGACTTTATTTAACCGATACTTTTAACGACCTTCTAACGGACGGGAGGCAATTGGGTAGAACCGGGTTCACAGAAAACAAAATTTCTAAAAAAGAATAACCGGCCAAAATTATCGGCAGAACCAGTGTGAACAGTAAATACGTAGCGATTCTCTTTGAACTTCCTCACAACAAACGCGAATACAACAATTACCTTCAAACATAACCCAGCCTAGAGTGAGACATGACAGATATGCATGGCATCCCAAAAACTTTTTGGACGATGTAGGATTTCGAGAACAAAACGTTTCCAGAAAATCCAACCCTGACAGCCCTGGCCGGTGAAAGCGAAGTTTCATTTCATTTTCATTTTTATCCGCTTATATGTAGGGGAAAACGACTGGTCTTTCATCTGAGCCCGCTAGATGGTCATGTGATTATTGTCAGCAGATGTCCGATTTTGATAGCTGTCAATTCATCATCATACGGATCGCTTACAAAGTGTTAATTTCTCCAAGATGTGACATTTGACATCAGCTTACATGAAGCGTGTGTACGGGTGGGCGTACGCTACGTCATAACCAAATTTTCGCGGATGGATAGTTTGCCAAATTTTCTTGCCCATGGTGCTCCGCAGGCGCACGCTTCGCTAAGAAGAAGACGCGAATGCCAAAACTGTATACACACATATTCCGTGTCTAACTATTGGTATTTCGCTGGTCTGTAGATTGCAGTTTTTTAGCTTTTCAATCGTGGAAGAAGAGGTTCCAGAGGCTATTACTGAACAACTTTTTTAGCGGTTTGATTCCAAATTTGAAGCAAATTGATGCCCAATGTAGAAAACCGTAAGTAAGGAATTGCGTTTGAAAAAGTTAGGGATGCGTCTGTATGAAATGTTCAATGCAATTTCACCCCAAAGTAAAATGGCGACGAGAGGGTAACGCTTTTACTTGTGTTACCCTGGCAAACAGGATAAAGATAGCACTGGTTTACAACCAAAATTTCACAGGTAGGGTTACCTTTATATAATATACGGGTCGACTTTACAAAACGGATCCTCAGACCGCAAAGAGATAGACAAGTAAACAAAATAATAAAACAGAAAAAATTGATTTCAACCATTTCGTTTTATTATTTTGTTTACATTATTGTTCATCGCAGGTATGAAAAGTCCTTTGAAATGGCATAACCATCCAGGAAAAAATAAAGGACTTTTAGAAAGTCTAGAAATCACGTCGGTTAAAAAAAAAAAGAAATGTAGCCCTCATGCAAGGTAACCCTAGCACTAGGGTAACCCTCCCTCCTTGTAAACAGGCCCTTAAATTACCTGAGCTAGCACGCGGTTCTGCGGTTATTTGTCATTCAAACCTAGCTTTATGTCAAAAAGTGGAAATTGATGAAATTGAGTAAAATCTGAAAACTGCTTGCCTTTAAAATAGCTTTTTAATAGCGAAAAATATGGCCACCGAGCAAAAGCGATGTAAACGTACATTTAACTACTATATATTCACTACGTTCGGCTATTTGATAAACTAAAGAAATGCACCAAAAGCGTTAGCGAGCAAGAGTATTTTGATCAGCCCTAGGTAGTGTTCATTGATTCGCAAATACTGGCCAACTTTCGGTGCCTTAATGAAAAACTGTCCTGCTATTTGACCATGATCTTACAATTCCATGGAAGCCGAGAGCAAGTGATTTTGAAAGTTTATAGTATTAATTCCTTTTCCAGAATACGGTTACAGAAAGCTCCCTAATATCTAATTTGTTCTGCAATTTTTTTTCGTTACAGGAAAACAGCTATACGTTTAGCATAGAAGAAATTAGACCACTACAACAGCCCAATACAGGCCAAGCTTAGGCGTCTTGTTTTTTTGTTTGTTTTTTGTCATTTGAAACTCCCACTACGAATCATGTACGTGTGGCACACTATATACCAACTTCTATATAGTAAAAAACATCCATATTTAAATGCAAGTTGGAAATCAGTCATTTTCAAACGCCTTCTTTATTCTAAAGAATTAAAGCCTATACACCATATCAGACGTGAACAGCAGGATCCGATTGTAATGGCTCTTGACGTAATTATTATATCCTACTTGTCAACTAATTCGACCTGGTCCGTACTACGCTGATCACGGAGACCTTCGAATTATGGTATTGACTTTGATGCCATGTAATTAAAAGAATTTCCAAATAAAAATTCAAGAACGGAACAAGGATACCCACTCACAAAAACTGCATGAGAAACAGAATTAAATGAATTTAATTGAATTTCCAATTACCGTTTTCAAGAACGGAAAACAAGGGTAACCGCTCACAAAAACTGCGTGAGAAACAGACTGGTAGCGTATGGTTGAGGCTAAAAGAGATTCACAAGGGATCACGATTAGTCGCAGATGAAGTTTTCCGAAGTTTTAAAAGTCGTAAATGAGGCTCAAACGCTTTCAAACATGTCTGTGATTATACAACCAAAGAGAAATTTACGCACAACCATTAGGGATTGTAACAAAAATCTCTGTTGGCCCTTGGCTCCTTAGTGCCTCTGCAAATCGTTTCCAGTCTGCTTGATCATCAGGACCCTTATAACCAACTAAAGCCCACGTGGCTCGATATCCCAAAGGTCGGGGATTTTTTGCTCCAAAGCTTGTCAGGTGCGCGTCAGCGGCCTGTTTGTTGGACTCCGATGCGCCTCCGGCCCACCATGCCTCATCCTGGGTCGCTGCTAACACGATCACGTTATTGGGCAGGCCGGTAAGAAATGTTGCTAGTTGATCATCTGCTGTGCTGGAAATATAGGAGTCAAATGCCTGGGAACTTATGAAATGTCCATCTCTGCTTAACACCACTACGTTATATCCTCTTTGCTGAAAGGACAAGGTGAAGCTTTTTAAATTTAGTTCCCTAAATATATTACAAAAAAATATATTGTGAGGATTTATTGCTAGAGATCTGGACCATCAGCTTGAAAGAGTATAGGGTACTAAGTAGCTTGTCAGCTATTGTACTCTGCCATTCATTCTCAGACTTGAATTGAATCTTGAATCTTGAATTGTGTCATGAAGCTATTGATAACAAAGTTATCTCGTACAATGTCACTAGACGCGTACTGGTGAGTAACATTTTAATTTTTAAAAACTTCCAATAAGGGGATGTATAGTTCTCTTCCTTGTTATTGAAGCAAGGAACACTGGGATATGACAAACTATTTCTTCAGTTTTCTCAGACGGTTTCTCCGATAGCCGTCTTCTGATTAATCGCCACTTTATTTACTACTTACTTGTGGCGACATCTCAACTCCATCCACCAATATCGAGGACTTTCCCGAAAGAGGACACCCTTCAGTTGTAACATCGTCAACACTAGCTGAGCAGAGGTGAATGTTGATACCTACCCAGAGATCAAATGGCATTACTCGGTAAAATCGCATGGGAGGACAACGTTCGGGGAACGACCTTAAAGCGCGCATTGTCAACGCCGGACGTCCGTTTTGAATTATAGAGAGTCAAATAAAAATCGAGGAGCCTGAGAAACAAATTGTAGAATGATGTCCTTCAGGTAAGGTGTCCGGTTTTGTTGGGTGGGAATTTTGTGGTTGCCCTCAGGTGAGCCTGATTAAGGCAACGACAGAGAAAAGGGGGTGAATAACCGTAGTACCTTATATTAATGATCACTTTATTACTGAATCATCACAGACCGTAAAAGGTTCCCGGTGGGTACTCAAATAATTTTTGGAAGGGGAGGCTCCGCCCCGAGGTCCAACCCTTACATCTTAAAATACCGTTTTTGACAGAAGAGGTACCCCTTTCGTACACTTTTCTTGGACAAATTGTACCCCTTTAACATACCTAGTATAAAACTGTTCATCCCTTTAAACTGCTGTAAATGCACTGTCTTTCAAATATGAATAAATCACAAAACCAGGCCCCGGTTGTTCAAACGTTGGATAGCGCTATCCACCGGATAAATCACTATCCAGCGGATAGCGTAATTGATTTCCGTAATACTTATCCGCTGGATGGTGATTTATTCAAGGTGGATACCGCTGTCCATCGTTTGAAAAACTGGGCCTGAACGTTTTCTCGGTACACCCCATTAATTAACAATTAATGAATGAGACTGAGTGTCTTATGAAGAATTATGGAGATCGAGCAGGGTGGTGGATAACACCCTCCGAGATCTCCATAATTCTTCATATGATACGAAAGCCGAATTCATGCTCAATAATTGTTTTATTATTCATTCAAAGTAATTCCTAGTTTAAAAACATAGCTAAAACAAGCTTACCTGCATCCATGTTAGTTTATTTTCGATTGTTTACGTTTAGGTTTGTCCAGCTCTTTAAATATTCTCGAAATAGCAGATGTCGCCCTCCGAGTTGTCTTCTTGCTGTTTTTGCTATGTTTTTAGCCGTTATTTCGCCTAGTTCCAGCTGTAGTTCTTACAACAAAAACAACTCAATCTCGTCCCCAGGTCTTCTCGGTTAACGGGGAATTAACCTGTAGAAGACTGCAAGTTTGGCGTCATTTCCTCGTTAAACACGAAATTCTTCCAAAATTGGTCATCAGTAACTGGTTATGGTGAATTATTCGTGTGCTTTTAGCCAATCAGAATTGGGAAAATATTTTGAATGAATAATAATGCATCCTTTAGCCCTGTTTGACCTTTCACAGGCTGAAATAACAGATTTTCTTCACCTTTCATACTTCGCGTAAATACTGAGCGAGTATATGCCCCCCTCGGTATCCCATAATACTCTTTAAATCTAATTAATTCAATATGGCCGCCGTATCGGTAAAAATGTCTGTTGAGATCGACGCAACGCTGCGTCCCACAGAAATGGCGCCGAAATTACCGTTGTATTACTCTAGGTAAGTAGAGCTTAATTAGCCAGATATTCCATAAAGAAACAGTGAAAAAATAAAATGAATACGGAGAGGAGTGAGTTTAGTGAGCACTTTTTAATGTCATACTAACAACTTCACAATGACTCGGAATCACTCACCAGCGCCTGAAACGTGAGTTTAAAAAAGATTAAATAAACACTGAATTTTCTTCTAAAAGAACATGTCGATCATCACGCCTACATAACTACTCTGTTACTTTCAAAAGACAATTATGGTCACTTCTGATTGTTGGAAGAAAACAAATCAACAACTTAACTAAGAACTAAGCGACAAAATCCTTGGTCAAAAAACTGCACTGTTAAAATCCATACTAAGCCACTAGTAACTGAGTAACAAAGTTTTTTCTTGGTTTTGTTTTTTTTTTTACTACTACTACTAAGACTAATAAAAGTCAAAGAATTAAGCCCTTAAGGCGTAAAATTACGATTATGTTAGAAAAATGATAAATACAGCCACCAAAAGATTAGCCTAACTTCTCCAAGTTCTGATATTGCGTCCCCGTTCTTTTATATTCCTTTAGAATTTACCTCTTAGAGTTAATTACAGCAAATTTTCTTGAAGAAGAAAATCTAGTTCACAGTTTTGACAAAGTTATGACCAGATACCAGATCCTATTAACCGTGGGGCAGTCGTTCGGTTAGAGGCGAGAGAAAAAACATGACGGCAGTCTTTTAAAAATTGCGCCTATTTTTGCCAATCTCCCGGCTTACTGCCCATGGGTCCCTGAAAATGCGTGCCCGTTTAATCCTAAAGATCGCACTGCAACATCGATAAGGAACAGGGTGTGTTGAGTTAAAACACCAAAACTAAACGAATACTATGAAAAAAGTGGGATTGGGCTTTTATTCTAATCTAGAGGAGTTTGCAGTAAACAAGTTTTAATAGCAGGGAGGGTTCGTATCAAAACAAGGCCAGTTCCAATCTAGCTTTCTCTTAAAGGCTGGCGTACTAGGCGCACAATACTGTAAAATAATCTATTGCCTTTTAGCTAATATCATCTAGTTACAATATCAAATGATTAAGGGTGCGTTCGATTGAGCTTATTACATAAAAAAAAGAAATTGAAAAACAGAAAAAGAAAAGACAGTTGGCTGAATGTTATATTCAAGAAGCCCGAGAAAGCTGTTCGCAATGGAGGGTTTATACCGACTGAACAATTTCTTGAACAATTACGCTTTCACGTCAGTCTGTCATTTAAGGAAATATGGCAAAGATTTTCTTTTCTGCTTCAGCAATTACCCTTTTCTGCTGAGTGTCTCGTATTTGTTAGATTTAAATATGGTTAATTTTCAACAACGAAGTCCGCTAAGTGTTTTTCTTTGCAAGTTATTTGTGAATCACTCCCCCAGTGCGACGCAGAGAAATGCCGTCATTCTGCTCCCCGCAGCAGAATGTGTGGAATACATTCCACTTACTGAGTCCGAATTTGAAATAAAAAGAGTCAAACAAACGGGTATTCAGGATTAGTCTAACGGTGTATTCCTATTCCTGATATATGGTCAATCGAAAGCACCCTACATTGGAAAGCGTACGTCTTTGGTGGGCTGTATGCTATGGTTTATTACGTGTTAACATATATTCACTTTCAACAGTAACTTTTGAGTAAGGTACGTGTTTCTTGTTACAGAAAGGTAAATGAGCCATTTTAATACGGACCAGAGCACATCCAAACCGCCTTCAGCTTCCAGATTGACGACTCTTGCACGTGAATGCCTTTAGCAGACACTGGAATTAAAAACAAGGAGGTGTAGTCATTTTAGTAATATTCAGGGAATAGCTTACCAAATCGAGAAAAGAGGACTCAGCGTTGACCAAATAGCAGTTGTCAGAGACTTGGTAATACCAGGGAAATAATTCTCTCTGATTCAGTTGAAGCACCGGGCATTAATATACTGACCTCCCCACTTGGTGTTTGCATCGGAATCACGCACAATATGTGGATTCAGGGTGCTATTGGTGATAGCCCAGTGATTTTCAATCATTTCAGCAGGAATTGTGGTATCCTTTACTTTCGCGGCATCCCACTCACTCAATGCGGCACCAATGAACTTGGAGGAATGAGAAGAACTTTTCACGATCGCGTTCCCATCCTTGCTAACGCCGTACCAGTTGCCAACCGCAACATCATATCCGAGGAGTGAAAGTACGCTATGATGCATTGCTGTGAAAAAAAGGAGGGAAAAGTGATTGGGATTGTATTAAATAAAATCAGCATAAGTTGTCCCAGTATTTTATAGACTGTTTGCAGTGACCTAATTTTTCGTAAGATCGTCAGGATCGAGCGCTTTATAACAAGGGCTAATTTAGGCGTGGGCCGAGGGGGTCGCGGCCACCCCTTTTTCCTTGAAATTTTGTTTTATTTTTATAGAACTCCCAGATAAATAAAAAGTATCTAGATAGCAAGTGGGCAAGTGTCCCGGTCACCCTTTTTCTGAATTTTCTGGATCCGCCCCTGTAATATCGGGACGGGGGCCATCTTGGTTTCATATCTACCGAGAGGGCGGGCGTCGGGGTTTATATCTGATTTGACACTAATCCAAGATGGACACCCGTAACGCAAAGCCTTCGATCTCGATTCTGGACGATCTTACGGAAGACAAGACAAGACAAGACAAGACATTTATTATCATAATATTACAAGTACAATTTTTTGGCACGCAGTTAGCAAGAAAACGCTAGTCGAGGCGTGCCAAATTAATTCTATTTCAAATTCTATTACAAATATATTATAATGGGTAAAAACCAAAGAAAAAGAAAAGAAGAAATATGTGTAATGAATTCAAAAGCAAGAAAGACAAATCTGTTTAATGCAACCTGTGAAAGAGGCTAAGGTTTAGGATTTCGCGATTTTATTTCTCGTGTTATCATGGTTGCATCAAGGTAATCATCTTTGTCTTTTAATATTTCGAAGAGCACACTGATTAATTTTCGTTTGAACACTTTAAGAATAGGGACTGTGAACAATCTAAGTATTTTACAATAGAATAAATATTTTATTTTTGACCATTTAAACTGAGCTCTGGTGAGATGATTGTCATCTTAAAGGGAACCTCCACTCTTACTACAGAATAAGTTTAAATCGAGTAAAATTATGTTGATAAACAAATTTGTTCGAAATTTGTCTTAAAAATAGTGTTTATATCAGGAAAAGTGAATTTTAAAATCGCTTATTTTCACTTTCAAATTTCGCGGGCGCCGCCATCTTGAATAATTGTGACGTGTTACGGTTGCTCTATTGTTCTGACACAAAGAGCTTTTGTTTAATAACAATAGGGCAACCATTACACGTCACACTTATTCAAGATGGCGACGCCCGCAAAATTTGAAAACAAAAATAGGCGAATCTAAAAGTTATTTCTTTCAGATACAAACGCTTTCTTTAAAAATATTTTAGATTGACTTGACTGTAACAGTTATTTCCTGTGATTTAAAGTTATCTTTTTGTTGAAGTGGAGGTTCCCTTTAACCTCTGCATCTGTTATCATTCAAATAATATCTCTTTCGCAGAACTTTTGACAGGCAATAATTTTCTTTCTTCATTTGCCATTTTTTCTGGAGTGATACGGTTAACCTCCCAAAGTGGAAGCCTTCTAGATGTTCAATGAATTGAACAGTTTTATAGCTCTCGTGAAAAGTAGATTTTCGAAGTCACAAGTAAACCAATTAGAAAGCGTGGTAACGAGCAGGGCTAGTTGTATTAATTTATTTGAGTGTCACTGTATTTAGCTTGAAAGTGCTCTTTGAAGACACTGTCTTTCAATCTCGTGCTAGAGACGGGAACGCCATTTAATGTGGTCATCCGAGTCACGCCAAGGCTTGGCCGTTTGGAAAAGGAAGTACCTTCATTTTTCTGCAGATATTATTTCTGAGTATTGTTCCGGCCCCGGAAATCGAACCTGTGATCTTGCGCTCTACAGTCAAGTGCTCTACTAACTGAGTTAATCCCGACGCGGTTTATTCTTAAATGCTTCTTTATGACCGCGAAAATCTGGGTTGGGGCAGTACATTAGTAACCGACAGGGTCATAAAGGGGCAACGCGACAGCAAGATGGCCACTAGCATTTTAACTCCGTGGAATCACGAAATATCCAATGTATCCACTTAATTAGAAATATTTTATATTATTCCATCTACTAGGGCAACGTATTAGTTTCACTATTTTTGTCCTGTTTCTCTTTAGTTAGTTCTTAATCAATGAATTATCTGTTTCTATAAACATGTATAGCCTACAGAGAGAAATAAAACTGACGGCTGCTACTACTACTACAAGTAGAGTGGGGAGTACGTACCGCAAGCGCATCGAGACACCCACGGCTGGAAACTAAGCCTCGATCATAAGACGAGGCGGAAGACAGTGATAGATCTCACTCGAATTTTTGGAGTATTTTGTGTGCGCTGGAGTTTGGAAAGACCTTATTCGTTCTACTTATGGGGTTTACTTTTCAACTCGGTCAGGATAAAACCAGATTTGACTGAGAAAGTTTTAGGTGGTCGGTAGGGCATAACTTAGGTTGCAGAAAAGGGAATATAAAAGAAATTACACATGCATTTAGAGAGCATAACAACGAAGCCTGCTGCAGTCTTTTAAGACTCCTACCTGTCCATGAGGCACCTCTGTCAATGCTGAAGAAACAGGTAGAAGATCCCCTTTTGCAGCTAAGAAACATGGTAAAAACAAGAAAATTGTTTAAAAAATGATCGAGGAGTCATTAAGCGCCTGCGTCGCATACGTAATTTAACCCCAGTTAGTAACCGTCTGCGACTGAGCAGCGCCGAAATTCTTGTTCTGGGTCCCAACGAGAATCCAACGAATTATGGGAAATGCGTTTCGAATTTCTTTTCAAACTGATTGGCAAATCGACAATCTCTTTTTTAACAGGCCAATCATGGCTGTCTCGCAGACGGACCCGAGTTAACCTGAGTTCAGTTTCGTCTATGGCGCAGGCTAATCATAAAGCGTCTTTATTTCTGTTAAGTTAGTTTCTATACTCATCAAGCAGTTCCCCATATCGCACTGACCTCTTGGCTGCACTGTCACACTGAAATAATAGACTTGTACTTTGTGTTACTATTGTGTGTTTTCGCATGACGTCATGGCGGCCATGTTTGTGTCCCAAACCGGTCCCGTGGGAGTGGAACTCTTTTCTTATGTAAACGCTTTGTTCCAATAAATTTGCATAGATTCTGGCCACGTGAGTGAAAACACAGAATTATAGAAACACTGATGTAATTCACTGTTTAAAAACTCGAAACCTACTTCGAGTTAATGGTGAGGAGAAGTTCATTTCTAAGTCACTTACCTCTCCAGAGAAAGGCTGCAAGCGTACATAGTGTCGTTGCGTTCGTTCAATAGATATCCACGACTGGTAAACTTCAACGGTCCTGCATGAATAAAATTACAACTTCTTGTAAATTATTATTCTTTTAAACTAAATATATTACAGTCGAACTTCCCCTGGCTGCGCGACCACCCATCTAGCTAATCCAAATTTCCAAACTGCGTTTTTAGCTACCAAAGCAATAAAGCTGGAACTTCTCGTAATCGACCACTTCCATAAGCGACTGCAGAACCTTGGCGTTTTGCATGGCAGGTCGCTGGAAGGTTTGAAAGTATTGAACTATTTGTATTTCCAATCGTTTGCTACTATTTGTAGCGCGTGTACGAATTGAAATTACGAATTTGATTTCCCTGAAATGTATGACACGAAGTCCTATTAACAATGTTTGTGTCAATAACAAGTGCGAGAATCTTGAGATTTTAACATGAAAATACGATCTTCTTAGTAGATCGGTTTACAGCTTCTAAAGCCAAAACAATGGCTTACAACATTTCGTAATATGGAGCTCCAACGACATTTTCTATTCATAATACATTTTGTAAAAACATGAATGTGTCAAACAGAACTGAAAAACTTGCTTACTAATGTTTTCCTGGTTTTGGTTGGTCAGCATGGACTAATTAGTTAAACATTAGCCTTACTGCCGGGCTAACAACATTTGATGCTCGATTTTCAGTGGCTGTTCAACTTTCCGATTTGACATGTCTGAGTGCAAGCAGCTTCTACATGGACAGGTCAAATTGGACAGTACTCAGCTGGCACTGCATCAGCAAAATTAAGCAATAGATAAGGGCTACGAACCAATCAAATCAGAGAATTTTGTTTGACACAATAATAATAATAATAATAATAATAATAATAATAATAATAAGTAAATGTGGGTAGTAACACGACAAGGGAACAGAAACATTCTCCTTACCTGGAGTAAAAGGGCAAATCAGGTTACATCAGTAAAACTCCAGTTTAAGGGCAATGCTGTTTTCCCAGTCATTAGGGCTAACGCGGACAGCCACTGCCTCTATGGGCACCGGTAGGATAATGACCGCTGGATTGTTACCATTGGTGTTGGCGGGAAAAACCTAAAGTAAACAAGCAGCAGCAACAATTAGTACAAAAATAAAAACTTGAGTGTTCATTGAAGGTGCATGCATGAAGAAAGTTTTAATTAACTCTATACAGGTGTAGATTGCCGACAGTTAGCGCTGAAGGCCAGCATGCAAAGATGGTATTTGCAAAAGGCACGTGTTTTTTTTCTTCGTTGACAGATACAGGTCTTAGTTAGACTTGTATCTTTTCAAAAATACTTAATGGGATAGTGGGATAGTTAAGGGATAAACGCCTTCAGATGTTGAGAGGTTTGACTTTGTTTTGCTTTAATTTGCCTAACGATGTTTTCTTACAATATTCTAGTGTCATGATAAAGCAGCATGGAACAACAAAATTCAGTTGCAAAGTATTTCTCCTCCTAGTATACTCACCGAGAAAACAATGTCTACGTATTTACTGAGACGATCATTGCAAAAAATATTTCAGCATTTGTTTCAGTGGACAACTAAAAGGAGTAAATTACATGATTTACTTTCAGCGGAGGGGTCAGTCTTTACATAACTGTGTTCACTCATGGAATCGCACGGTAGCGATTTGTGTAAGAAGTGAAAGCCATCCAATCCACCTCGCGGCGGACAAACATTCTCAAACTGGATTATTAGAATTTTATTATTAAAAAGGTCATCCCAGGGAAGTTCGCTTACCATGTTTTTGCTGCCCAGCTTGTAAGGTTTAAAAATAACGCCATCTTTGCTGTAAAACAGGAAAAAACTCTTGACGTAGTTTTCTCCGTGACCCTTTGTGACAAGCCTATTAATCTTGACTTTGCAAGTAAAATTAACCTCAAGATACTGGTGTTTTGCCTGCCTGTAGGAAAAAGAAATTGAAAATCACTTATGATTAATCAGGTAAAATTCTAAATCTCCGAGTACCATTATTCGAACTTACTTATCGGTCTATCCTACAATGAATCTACACTTCTTCCCCCAACGTTTCATTCCTGGTCCATATTTTTCTCACAATCTGCCTAATATGTTCCCCAGTTCGTCTGTTCGCTTGACCGTTCGTTCGTTTTATCAACTCCTACCCGGCCTACCTTCCCCGCCTTCCCTCAGCTCCGTTTTCAGTCTGCCCTAACTTCCAATCATTTTTACAATCAATTAAGTCTTACTGCTAAACTTCACTTCGAATAATCAAAAGACGCACTTCAGGGTCTACAAATCAACATTTGACTTACGCAAGCTGGCCATAAGGTATCCAAGTTTTGTTGCCATTCAGTCTTCCCTCATGTGGTTCCCCGCCCATAGCATATGAGGAAGCAGTGATCTGGGAATCAGCAATGCTCCCATCCTTCATACCAAGGGCCTGGTCACATGAACCCACTACAAAATAGCAAAAAAGGAAACATCAATGGCATAGCTAAGAACTGAGAGTAATTGTCTAACACTTTCATTTCATAGTTTACATTTAAGAAAGTTTTTAAAAATATTTTGAGTCACTATTTGGCAAGGTGCAAAACTGAGTACTTTTTTCGAATTGTGGAATTAAAGTTTTAATTGTCTTCATCTGGAAATATTAGCCTTTGGTTTAGTCTTTCGCATTAATTTCCTTATAAGGAACCCTTCATTCGAGTTAATTATTAGCTTGCCCAGCGGTATTTTCCTACAATAACGGGTACTGATATCAAATTCACCTCTTTATATTTGTTTTCTTCTCTATTTTTTTCCATCACTCTTCCTGCCCTAACGATAAGTTTACTGTTTTAATTTTGATATCCAGTTACACTACCCTGCCTATTAACCCTCGAGTTGATTCTTGGTAAAAGCGAATAGCAAATACCCCCATTAAGGATTGAGGCTTTACTGGCAGCTCGTTTCAAACTTACGTGGGACATAATACTTGACAGAAACTGTGGCTGGCCCGTCGTTAGTGAACTCGCGAGAGCCTGAGAACGAGCTGCATGTTCCCACTGACCCATTGTACTTGACGTTTACATGAGTGGTTAAATCATGTACTTTGCCATCGGCTCTTCTCTTGTGCAAACCAATGTCGAACGTTACTTCCAGGTCGATCGTCTCCCAAAACTTCATAGGTCCAAACTGAAAAGGTAACGTAACAAGAAAAAAATACATGTGCGTCATAAGTGTTAGACCTTTCAACAAATTCTTCGTCCCAGGGAATCAACGTGACTTAAACGTTCAGGTCTAAAGTCACGGAAGCCAAGAAATTTTTCAAAAACAAAGCAAAAATTCCAGTTGTATCAATTAAGCATGTAGTAATAAAGAAAAATTCGAGGAAAACAAGGCAGGACCTAAATACTCTTCAATTCATAGTTTAAGGTGATAAAAACGAAACAATTATATAGCGCTAAGCAGGGAGTCACAGCTTTTCTCTGAGCGAGTAAAACGTTTGGAATAACAGCGTTGAAATGAGTCAAAACCTGGAATCAGCAAGTACGTTTTTAGTACTGGTCGCCCCATGTAAAGGAATTCGGATTCCGGAATCCGGAAAAATTTTGCTTCTGGAGTCCGAAATCCTGGGCTTTGGAATCCAGAATACAGCTCAAGGAATCCGGAATCCCACAAACGATTGGAAACCAGAATCCAAGTTCCACTGACTGGAATCCAGTACCTAGAATCCGGAATTTATGGAGTGGAATCTAGAATCCAAGGCTGTGTTGGATTCCCTAACATGGGGCCAATGAAATGCCGTATTTATTCATAATTTGATGTGTCAATATAACGCAGAATCAACAACTTTATCTCTTTATAACCTTAAAAATCACCATCGTGGTACTGTTGAGCACTTCAGTGATGCTAATGGATTGTCCCACTGTTTTCCAACTGTTTAGTGTCAAGACAGGGGGCAGAGGCCATTCAATAATCCCACTTTCTATCTCTTCAGTTGTCACGCTCGAATGACTCAGTGTCAGGCGGAATTTTGTTTGTCCCCTTTTTTAGAAAACAATAACAATAATAATCAGTTATATATGTTAAAAGTAGAAACGAAATCAGATTATACGTCATGATTCGCAAATCAAATTACTTGAAATCTCCTTTTCCATTCCAAATGAGGTCGGTCATTTTCGGTGCGGACACTCAAACTGGGACAACTGGAAGAAGATTGTCCAACGTTTTCTGTGTTCAATCACAACGATTTCTGAAAACACAAGATTGTTAAGTTTTCTTTTTTTCTTTTTTTGCAAACGGACCAATAAAATTCAAGGTTCAACTATGCAACCGTTGAAACTTTAAAACCGTTTTGCCTTGCCAGCCCAGCCCTCTCAGGAAAGAGCGCTCAAATGTTATTGGTCCGTTTGCAAAAAAAAAAAAGAGAGAATCTTTTGTTTTCAGCTAACGTTGTGATTGGCCAATCTTCTTGCAAGTGTCCCGGTTTGAGTGTCCGTACTGTAAGTCCATTCACGATCTTATATACTATCAACACAATTAGTTATCAATTTTAAATGTGTTCTCAAGTGGTTACCATTTACACAAACCATCCGGGTGGAAATCATGTCCATAAACATAAAACTATAAAATTTGACGTCAAGGATGGGAGAACGACCCGCTAAAATTATACCCAAATCAGCTCAACAGACTAAAAAGAGTAGAAAAACTGCATGTCCTCAAATCAAAACCCATGTTTTCTGAAGCTTCCCAAAAGGCGCGAAACATTTGATTTTCCAACAAGAATTTCCAGATTCCCCACGTAAATGGTAAGTACTTCACAGTACCCCCTCCCCTAGGGATCTTTAATTTCACGAGAGACAAGAGGACGCATTGTTTTACAGAAGAGGATGTAAAAGAGTGGAAGAAAATTTATGAATATCAAGTGAAGACTAGTATCCCCGAGTAAATAGAAATACGCTTTCTGCAGGTACATAGATATCAGAACACGAGAAACCTATGAAACTATCATTTCACTCGAGATAACTTTTAATTAAGAAATTGAAGAGTATACTTCGATCTAGTCAGTAACAATTGCTACTCCGGCCCCACAATACAGAATTCAGGGCTAGTTTATTTCCAGGATTTTCAGGCAAAATTCCTTCGAATCAGGAGAATCAAATTTAGTAAATGGGAATTAACAATCTGAATGAGAATACCATACCCCAATAGTATGTTATAACCGTCATTGTCGGGCCAGAGTGAAACCTTCAAATCTGGTCTGCTGACTGCTGTGTTGATGGTCTTGATCGCCATCTGTGCTGCCCATACGGACTGATTTATGTACTCTGCACCCACGCTCACCCACTGTGCACCTCCATTAGTAATATTGGCATGATTCAATAGCTGCACCTCAAAATCGATCTTGATTTCAGTATTGTTCACAGATGGGCTCCGCGTTATGTTCCCGAGTTCAAAGAACGCTATGTCGTTCAGACCGTCGTTTGCTGTGGACGTCATTGTGGTTGTGTTGACGCTAGAGGTGAGGTGCTCGCTGACTGAAGAGTACTTAGCTTCTGTGAGTCGCATTATTGGGCCGCCAAAGGAGGGAAGTTTGATTTTGGCTCTAAGGGGGGTGGACTCAGGGATGTCTATTGTGAGACTGAACTGAACTTTGCGCCCTGTGAACTGCCAATCTGTCGATCTTTCGAGGCCAAACCTGAATTCTGAGGCCTGGAGAAAGAAGAAAAATGTAAGGTGAGACACACCACTGCACAATTGAACCGAAATGCCAGCATGACTAAAGAAATCGCTTTCTTAAGAAATCACAATCCGGTGTACGTAATTGGGCAAGCGCTGATTGATGACTCCCTCCAGACCAATCTGAAACATATACTTTTAATTTTCAAACTGGAAAAAAATCTGTCGACTGGTGTAGGAGGGTCACCTTCCCCCCTGGAGAGTCAACTTTAGCTCACCTGGCTAGGCGGGTTTCATCTAGGCGGGTCATGATCTACCTTCAAGCCGAGCCAACTTTTTGTTCCTTATATAAATAGTTCGCCACGTTTTGTAAGGAAATGCAGAAAAATTTTGCTTGCCCACGGGCAGGAGTAGCTATGGTAGGCGGGTGACCTGGCCTGCGTAGCTGTCGGTTTTTTGAAGGTGTGTTTTTTATTTTGCAGTTGTGGTTTGCAAAGTAAGAGTTATAGCCGCGCGAAAGCTGAACCGTGGTCAAAACAGAAAACAATGGGGGAGGGGCGAGGGAAGAAGGCCACCCCGATCGTGCTCTTTTTTTTATCTTCGGTTCAGCTTCATTCACGCGGCTGAATCTATTGCTTTACGAACCACAAATGAAAAAAAAAAAAAAAACGGCCAAAAAAATAATAACAATAAAAAACGGCAGCTACGCAGGCTAGCGGATGACCCTTCTACCCCGGACAAATTTTCTCCATATGAACTGGGGCCTTAGAAGGAGAAACGATTACGCTTGAGAAATAAATTGATTTTTTTTAAAGATCGCCTTGAAATGAGTCAATTGCATGCAAATTACCGCTTGAAATTCTACAGTGATGTACATGAATTCAAATTATTGTCTTTCAGGAGTGACGCAATGAAACAAACGAATACTTCCCGCCTTTATGTTCCTTGACACGTTCTCAGGTGTTTTCAAAAAAGAATATTTTTTTTTCTCCGTTTAGCCTTCCCTGCACATGTCACGGTGTTTTCGGGTGCAGGACTTTGAAAACGGGTGCCAGAGTGGAGATTTGTGAAAACGCCGGAGTTTCGTTTTCATGTGGACTGCCGAAAACGGATCTTCGAATATAAGATGTCATACATCTTACAGCCACGCTGTACGTAAGGGAAGCTATCGTATTCGGCTATAATCATTTTATGGTTTTCGGGTTCATGGGCAAGAATGATTTGACAAGGCTATGTGTACATCTATGGGTACTTTTTTGAAGAAAAATAGAAACCAGGAAAGTGTCCTTTTTCAAAAAAAAAAATTCCGGATACGAGTGGATGAGGACTTAGCTTGTCGTGCGAAACGCGTGTTAGCCAATTTTTTTGAGCGTCAAGGTTCTTATTTCGGCTAAATGACTCAATATTAATCAAATTTCTAGTTTTTCAAGGTTTTTTTTCCGAAATGCGTTTATCTGAATAAATACTTGTAGTCCTTGTGGTTGTTTTGTCCGTCAGCTAGTGTGATGATTCCCTGCTATGTTGTAACGCCGGGCCCAGCCATTGTTTCCTCGCACAAAAGTGATCTACAGATGCGAATTCGAAGGAAGGAATTGAGCCTAAACTTCTACATTAACTGCTGAGAATTGTCCTGTTAGTCAGTCATAATTCTTTTGGCACAGATACAAGCCATTTTGTTTTTCTTGAGATAAGTGGGTCTTTGGACTGGAGCGCGATGTCACAAATTCCTCTGTTGGCAAATTACTTTTGAGTTAGCTTCACTGTCGAGCAACTGTTGTCTTCTGGTCAACTTTTCAAGTGCCAGTTTTATCAGGCAACTCTCATGGTGATACAAGTCAGTTGTACAGGAAGACTGCAATTTCTCAAATTTCGGAAGTGAAGCATTCCTCGTTAGTTGCTACTAAGGTCATCGCTTTTGCACGCGGTGCTTAACTGGCGAAATCCACTCCACGGTGATGACAAAAATCAAAGGATCCCGGCACTTTTTCGGCGCTGATCATCGAAAAGTTCCAAATCCTCCACAGAACGCTTAATCGTCGACTCTTTTCAAGGTCCATGCTTAAATGTGGGATGTATGACGACAAAAAAAAAAAAAGAACACTCGCAAAGATAAACCCTTTCGCTGTCTTTGTCCCATCGCTTCATGCTCAGTCTCAGTCGAGTAATTCATTAACTTTTATTTCATGATCCCCAGATCCCAGCGGCTGTAAAATTGTAAAAATGGACGTAAAGGAAAAAAGGAAAACGGTCGAAGGATGAGCCTCTGAGTTCGACTTCATCCAATTTTATTTTTTCACGGTGCGGTGACACACGAGACTCACGGAAATATGACACTTTTCGCGGGAAACTAGCCGTGCGTGGTTGTAAACAGCTATGGGCGCGACTGGAGCCGCGAGATTGTCAAACCTAATTTATGGAGAAATTCAGCCTTCTCAGATCAATCGCCTACAATACAGCCATCTCTGCTCGCTCCTCGCTCCTCGCAGCTAAAAGTTTCGCGAAACGTACCTTGCTGCGAGAAGCGAGGAGCGAGGAACGATGGGTGACGGCTGCCGAGATTCGCAAGCTACTTTCTCAAGGATTCACTTCAACCAGTGGGTGCAATTATTTGCCGGTTATTATAAATTCGGCTATTTTGCCACTAATTAGCTATAGCCGAAATAGGCATTTCGCTCACCAAAACGGTCCGGTCTTTTGAATTTACAGCATAGTATCAGCTTCTCCTCGATTCATTTTTTTTTTTACCTCTAGTTAACTTTAATTTGGTTGCGTGTGAAACGAAAAGTGAATAATTATGTTTCGAACAAGACTAGAGTAATTTTGCAGTATTTTAATCTATTATTTATCCCACTTTCCGCTTACTGCGTCTTCTAGCTGATAAGTTTTCAAGACCAGTCGGCCTTAGTTTGACCGTTTTTATCAAATGCAAGTATTGTAGACACCCCGTTTTAATCGCCTACCTGAAAATTTTTAGCATTTTCGCAGCAACGTACAGTAAAGAAAATATTTCCGGTATTATATCATTCAGTCCAAGTGTCCAGAACACTGTTTCCCTGCACCTCTAAACTATTGACTCAACTTTGTTTTCAACTGGCCGAGACGTTAATTGTATTGGGTTGTCTAGCGTTGATGAGATAATCTTTGGTTTATAAGGAAGGGAAGTTTACAACTCTCCTAGAAGCCGGAGTCTCTTACTATCTGTTTGTCTGAACACCCCTCTATATCCCCTTCACTGGGTTCTTGAAGAAAACGTCTCTGGGTTGGTTTATTTCCCTCTGGGTTTTTCTTAGTTGTGTATCTCCAATAAAAACGGAAAGGAGTGGCAGGCCATTATCTTTACCGGCATGATAACTTTGAACACCTTTTACATATTGCTCTGGCTAGAAGAACTAAACGATTTACACTTTTTTACTCGAGATTGATTAACTGTTCCCTCTGAACAGCGAAATGCACTGGTCTTGTAGAAGTCACACATTGTGATAGAAAGTGACCGGGGAAGCAAAACATACACCAGCCGGGTAGAAACAAACTATTTGCCGACTCTTAAATCGCTAGGAAGCTAAATTATCACTGGCTAGTTTTGTCACAGAGGTGTGTTTCCAACCAGAGACATAATTCGTATCTAGTAGTAAGTAGGTGTCGTGAAAGAAAATTCGGCAACGAAAATCCTGATAGATGGATGTCGATGACGCTTAACCTGGATCTGAATATAACAATTCGATGATCAATTACGAAAACATACCTACTAGATAATTAAGAAGTCACGCGTAGTGAACTTCACGTTGAGTCTTTTTTACTGATGCTGTAAGTTGCTTTTAACACAATGAATAATTTAGACACGAAAATTGATCCGAACCATGCAGAAAACACAGCAACTGTGTCTCAAATTTTTAACTTCACGAACAAATACCCCAAAACTCAAGAAAGGAAGATGATATGGGACATAAAAAAGGGGCAAGCTTACGAAAATATAATTTGGTTGTTGCGTCAGTGAGCTTCGGATAAAAGTTTAGTATTTATTTAATCCTTTGAATACCGTTGTTGATGTGTTAATTCTTTCTAAGATTACCAATTTGCCGAAAAACATTTCATAAAAATGGGAAATTTTAATCGTAGCAATACATGGTGGTCTCTGTATTTACAATGTTAATTCAACTGCTGAAAAAGACTAAAACTGAATAATTTCAGATTACTGGCGTTAATATCAGTTTAACCACACCTGCGGTTCATGCATACAATCCTAACGTTTTATGCTCCAGATAAGCTGCAAGTTGAACCACGTTTCTAAAGACGTTTGTAAGTCAGAATACAGCTTACATTTTTCGTTTAGATGATGTTAGTCTTAACAGAGCATTTGCGAACTACGATATTTCACGGCTGTATTCAACCCATTTTTTGTTTTGTCAGTTTAAACGAGTTTGCTAAATACCGATTTCGGTCACTCAAAACTGAGATCGCCGATACTTGTAAACGCAGCAATGAACAGAAAGTAAAAAAGGTCTTACCTTGCAAATAGAAACAACCAAAAAGAGAGTCAGGAGAGAGTGCATTTTTCTGCGGTGGTGGTCAAACGCTTGCGCCATCCGCTTTAGCTCGTTCAATGTTGCTAACGACAGGTGCTTAACTGAACTGGCAATGGCCCACAACTACTTAATTATTAACGACATTTACCCAATTGTCCGTTAGAAGTTCATGATGCAACACGGTGACACAATTTAATTCAGACAGCTAAAATTAATTTTACGTGTTTTCAAAATGAGTTTTACGTCTGCTATTTTGCTGTTCTCAAACGTATTAGGAAAGGAGAAACCCGACTGTCG